AGTCAATCTTCAATAAACCACACCTTTTCATTTTTACTGTTAGTAAGGTTAATAAATTGTTTAAAGGTCTAGAGTCTAGACTCTAAAAAAATCTGAAGGCCCTGATGACCTTCCACCTTATTTCTTAAGGCACATTTTCATACATTTGTACATTTTCATCTTTAAATCACGTCTTGGTCTGCTGCCTTCATACATCTCCTCCTACATGTCACTTTGTGAGTGCAGCTACAGCGTGCATTCTCAAGACATTATTACATGCAGTGTTCCCTCATTGGCAACTGAACTGGACAAAAGGGCCTTCTCCTACTCCGCTCGTTTCCTGGAATATCTTACAAAAAGATCTGAAGCTCTCGACCTTGACCTCTCTAAGGGATTTTAAACAACTGCAAAGTTCATAGCAAAATCCAGCACAGACATGTTCCTGTTTTTAGTATTTGATATTGCTTTATAATGTAGTTTGTGTTGTGTTTTTACATCATTTTTTCTATTTACTTTTCATTTTATATGCTATTTATATGATTGTCGGTTGTTGTCTGTACCCCATCTTAGTTCTTTGTTTAAAACACTCAGGCTCAATAAGACTGACCTGTAGAAATAAAGGTTGAATGGAAAGTAAAGGCATTCATGAATCAAATTGAGGGAAGAATAAAGAGTGGGATTGAAAGATGAATGGGGACAGTGTCTGCAGTAATGAAGTGTGTTGTGATGAAGAGAAAGCTAAACCAAAAGCTAAAGCTGTCAATTTACTTATCTATGTTTTATCCCTCACCTACTGCCATTCTTTTAATAAAGACAGAAAGAATGAAACTGTGATTTCTAGAAACTCAAATGATCACCAGCTGAATGGCTGAACTCAGATTTAAAAACTGAGTGAGGGGCTTATGAATATGCAAGAAATTAAAAATAAATAAATAAATAAATAAATAAATAAATAAATAAATAAGTAAATATAGTAAATTGGTTACATAGGTTAAGTTTGTAATGACTTCTTCAGGTTCTTTTTTTTTTTGCGAATGAGGCATGACTCAAATCCTCATGATTTGTATGCAGTACTGGTGTATTTAAATGCACATCATGCTGTTTTCTAACTCTAACAACCAGTTCTGAAGCTAACCCTGTTGGTTTTAATGCATGAGCAGTATCATTTACTCTGACTGTTAAAACAAACAAAAATCAAAAGCAAATAATCTGTTGAAGTTTCCAAAGTTTCCAGTCAAAGAGCAACAAAAAACAGCAATTAAACCATTTCATCCACTTATTGTAATGTAAAATATTTAAAGCTATTTAAAAATTGCGCAGCTTAAATGGAACACCAAGGGGTTTCTGTTGAAACATTTCTATTTTCTCTCAAGGTAACCAAAGGGTTTTGACCGTCTTTAGTTGTTGAAAGAGATATAGAGATGAGACCTTTTCATTGTCACTACACCAAAACTTTTAAAGGAATTGCTTACTAGGTGGTGGTATCTTCTCTCAGACACAAGGCACACAGCAGGTTAGGTGTGCTGTAGAAATAAGCATCGCATTGTATCCAGGCACATAGTTAAACTTCAAGTAACCCAAATAATCTCCAGATCCTGGTTCATCCAGATCTCTGGTGAGTTGTTGGATCTTGTGTTTGCTTTTGTTTGACAGGCAGCCCCTGGTGGCCATCTGAATTATGGCTTGTTTGTCAAGATCGATTGTGGGCTTGCATGAAGACACTCAAACTTCAAGAGAAATTGTGGCGATGGATCGGTCAAAAATTAATTTCTGTTTTCTTAATATTTTTAATTAAGGTTTTCTTTCAATGATAAACACAGTTCTGCCTTTTTAAATAAAACCACTGCATTTAAGCCTGAACAAGCTTATTGATACACTGCATGTGAATTCACCCACACATCCGTTATCTTTATCTGCTTCTTCCTTTTCAATTCAGTTTAATTCAGTTTATTTTTGGAGCGCCAATGCACAAACAAAGTTATCTCCGGGCACTTTACTGAAACATTGAGATACCAATTAGTAAAGTTCTTGACCCGTTGAATCTTCACTTGGTCACAGTCTCCCATCCTCTGCAAGCACAAAGGCAACAGTGGGGAGAACTCCCTTTTAAAAGGAATAAACCTCCAGCAGAACCAGGCTCAGGGCGAGCGGCCATCTGCTTCGACCGGCTGGTTTGAGAGGACAGGACGGAGAGACCAACCAACACAGAATGACAGGTCCAGATGTAGGTGCAGGTGTCAGTTTTCCGATGGTAAATAGAGCAAAACTGTCAGCTGCTGACATGTTCACATGCCACTGGAAACGGTACAACATGATAAAACCATTTAGGAAGAAAACATTTAAGACGCATGTAGATTTTGTATATGAATGCTTAAATATTTGATGTGCAACAGAAGAAGATCCTTATGGTTCATGTCACTGGAGACATGGATGCAGCAACCAGTGTGAAGAAAAAGGTGAAAAGTTCAATAAATTTAATTACCTAAATGTACAATTTTAATTAATTAAAGTATGTATGTATTTATTATTTTTAATTATTATTTATTCTTACAATTTTATTATACAAATTTACTGGTGCTTTTAAATGAGCTGGAAGAGATTTAATAATTTGGGAAACATTCAAGCAATTTTAAAGGCAAAGTGTTCTTTAAAAATATTCCAGATGTACTAAAACATTTTTAAAAATGTGTTTTTGTGCTAAGTTCTGCAGTATTTCAAGTTGAAAAGTGAAGTGCTCGTAAAAGTCATAAAAAAAATCAAACTGCGCTCCAGAGCTTTGAGAGGGATGTTTTGTTCTTTAGACTGCTTCTTGCTCCAGCAGCCATCGGTGTGGCAGCTCATTGTTTGGTTTGTGTCCACGCTGTCACTGTTCTTCCACAGCGCTGCTGAAATGGCTGCTGCATCCTCATGTCTGACTTGGCTGCATCCTCCTCACTCTATTGTCTGTCACCCATTGTTCTCCCAGCGATGCTCGTGTGACCCGACTGACCCAAATCAGAGCTCTATAAAACGTCACATTTCTTTCATAAATTCATCTTTTCATGGCTCAGGATCCACTGAACCCGTTAATGACTGTTTTGTGTTTTTCATCAGTCGCTTGTTTTACAGAACATAATCCTGTAACTCTAAAACTTTTTGTACACTATGCTGACTTTCTCAACAAACACAAATTATTTTTAATTAGCATTCGTTTTATAAGCAAAATAACTGCATCATACCACCTCGTATCGTTTGGTTTCATTATCTAATAATCTGCATAATCAAGATTTTAATTGAAGAAATAAATTACAAGTAAAAGAAAATGCAAATCCAATAAAATGAGCTCAGGGTGTATATTTCTTACACTTATTATAATAATAATAATTATTAATATTATTATTATTATGACTTTTAGCAAAGCCTGATGGCAGTCAAGCCAGATGTTCGGAGGTTATTGTCTAAGGGAAAATGCAACTTTCTCCACGTGTATTTTCACTTAGATGTCTATATGAAGCTTTTGGTACCAGTGAGTCATTTTACTTGATGCACAAATGTTTTACTAAATTATTTAATTAAAGGTTCTGTTTATGTTGTAATTCACAGATGACATCTTTTACGTTAGCTTAAATTGTTTTTCGTGTTGTTTCTTCGTTTTGTTTTAAAGATTTGACATATTTTTCCTGAGTTCCTGCACAGGAAGGGAAAAATATGTCAAATCCATCCAACCATCCAGCCATCCATCCATCCAGCCATCCATCCATCCAGCCATCCATCCATCCAGCCATCCATTCATCCAGCCATCCATCCATCCAGCCATCCATCCAGCCATCCAGCCATCCATCCATCCATCCATCCATCCATCCATCCATCCATCCATCCATCCATCCATCCATCCATCCAGCCATCCATCCATCCATCCAGCCATCCATCCATCCATCCATCCATCCATCCAGCCATCCATCCATCCATCCAGCCATCCGTTCATCTTCTTTACCCACTTATTCCTTTTCAGGTCACGGGGGTCACTGGTGTCCATGTCCAGCAGTCTCTGTGTGAGAGGCCGGGGACACACTGGACAGGTCTCCAGTCCAACACAGGGACACATAGAGACAAACGAGACAAACAACCATTCACTCTCTCACTAGGGACAATTTAGAGTTACCAATCAGTCTAACATGCATGTTTTTGGTCTGTGGGAGGAAACTGGAGAAAACCCACGCATGCACCGAGAAAACATGCAAACTCCACCCAGAAAGCCCCCTGGCCAGGATTTGAACCAGGGACCTTCTTGCTACAAGAAAGCAGTTCGACCAACTACTGCACCCCCGTGCCGTCCTATTTAAAATCAAATGTTTTGATATGAAATCAGAACATCTGAAACAAATTAATAAAACGTGAAGCGTTGAACCACATGCAGGGGGTTATTTTCAGCATTTGAACGTCACCGCAGGTGGAGCAGTGTGTCAGAGGTTCTGCATCAGATTGTGTCGTTCTTTAGAAACCATCAGACTCATGAAGTCTCACAAGGACTCAGTTTGAGCCTCACGTAATCTGGCAGATTAAATCATGACAAAAATGGATTATTCTATTTCTATAATTTAAAATACTAAAGAACCTTTATTTTTATTTCACACCACCCCTCCCAGCACAAACATCCTCTTCCTACCTGCAGCCCACACCCACCCCACCCGTGAGGCAACATATTTTCAGGTGAGGCGATACGATGCAGCTCCCTTGAAGCAGCTGACGAGCTCATGCAGGAGATAAGATGTTCTGTTGGGTCGAGCTGGACTCGATTTGTTACCAACAACTCGTAAAGCCTTCCTCTCTGCCACCTTTGCAGTAAAACCTTCTTCGTTATGTTAAAAGATCCGTTTAATTATTTTTGATGACTGGATTTAAGAGACGATGAGGCAATATTGTACAAAGCAATTCCTGTTTTTCCTCCATAATCAAGTCAGTGACATTTGAATTATTAAAAACAATCCATTTGTTTTATTAAAAATGAAAATCATATTAGATCACTTACTCATTTTTTTGTGTCCGTTTTGACTTGTTCAGGGTCGAGGCTGGAACCGGTCCAGTCAGCGAGGGAGAGTCCACCTTGGACAGGCCGCAGGTCCAAATGGACTTTAAAGACGTGACGTGTTGTTCAAAAAACTCAGTCAGACGCATGGAGATGATCCTTTTTTTAAAAGTTTGCTCCAAAGCAGTCTATCTCAGCAGGTTTTACAAAAATCAATCTGTACAAAACTTTCTTCTGCTTCTCATCTCGGATGATCCTGGCTCGTTTAAAAATTAAATTATTAAAAAAAACATTTCAAACTAAACTGTGAACCAATATTTTACAGACCAAACCGCAGTCTACTTTTATTATAATTATCATTGTTTTACTTCAGTTACGAAAGTTACACGAAAGGTGGCAAATTGATCGGCAATAAATAATAAATAATTCTGTTGCACGGAAACAAATAATACATTTTCAATCAAAGATCTAACTTACAGGTCTTTGGGAAAGAAAGAAAAAAAAAAGCCAATTTCTGGACGGACACTAACTCACAAATATCCCACGAAGCTTGTGGCAAAATAGAGGTATACCTTGTTGCAAATGCCTTAGAGCTTGAAGGAAAATAATTACAGAAAGAAAACCAGTGCCGCTCTTCTCCCAGTAGTCCAGAAGCTTCAACGACGAGGAAAAAATCACCCTCGTCTTCTATTCAGAGCTGAGTTCTTGATTTAAACTCTGCTCATAAAGAGATCCCGTTATTGATGAAGCAAGCTCGTGTCCTCTCTTTTTGGCAACTGTAACCAGCGTGCAGATGGGATGCACCGCTCAATATGAGGCGCCCGTCTGTCTGGGTTGACCGTAGAGTGGGTGGCTGTGGTAAATCCCATGATTGTCTTCACAGTGTCAAAACACAACCAGTGGGGTTGCTTGGTGCTGTCGGGAGGAATGGGATGATCGTTCATTTCAGTCTGTCCGTGCGTGGGGGGGCTGCTCAGGCCTCGATGGGGCTGGACACCATGCTGTTCGGTGTGTCAGGAAGCTGAGAGGACATGGACGCTACCTCGCTGCCAGTGGAGTTGGACCCCGGTCCTCCCTCTGAGAAACTGACCTGTAGGACACATGGAGCAGCGGTTAGAGGCACACGAGGCTCAAACACGAACATGTAAAGATGCGTCTGCTGCAGCAGCACGACTTGTACCGAGCTCGGGTCATGTCTGTGTCCTAATCAAAAACAAACCTACAAACACAAACATGTGTTGATGGTGCGCAGCTTCACATCTGTGTGGCCCAGTTTGCTCTGGGAGTCTCAGGCAGATTGTCTTGCCTGTGTCACCGAACATAAATCAATAGGAATGAAATAAAGCCAGCCATCACTGGAGCTGTGTGTCCATCTCAGGTGCATCCAGAAATAAACAATTGGATTTACGTGCAGGACCCGGGACAGTTTAATAACACGACAGGTCTATCTGAAGACGCAACAGACGACTATGAGCACCATGGGTCATCTCTACTAATGAAGTTGTGACAACCTCAGCAACATGAGACTTTAGCAGGTTTCTTTGCATGAGACAAAATTAAAGAATGTCCAGAACTGTGTAGTTTAGTAAGAGAGAACCACAGACGTGCGCCGATGAACTCTGAATGTGAGAACCAAGCAGAGCAGTTTGGATCATTCAAAGACTTATGAGCAGCAGAAAGATCAGAGTTTGTGTGTCAGGTCGAAGTTTGGATGACGGACAGACTCAGAACTGTTTGAATAGACGACAAGAGTTTAAACAGTTTGTTTCTTTTTTATAGACGATGAAGCCAACCTGACATGAGCAACAGGGCGGAGACGCATTTTGCTTTAGCCGTGACACAAAATAATACAGAAAACTACACCCCCCCCCCCCCCCCACCCCCCCCCCCCCCCCCCCCCCC